AAATTGTGGCATATTAGAAGCTAACAAGGTTGTTTCGGCTAAGTAGCCATCATCAGAGCCTAAAACCAATGAAATATAAGAAATTTAATTAAAATAAATGAGAATTTAATTCGTTTAATTCTTAAATAATTCGTTTAATTCTCATTTATTTTAATTAAATTTCTTATATTTCATTGGCTAACAAACACATTTTTTCATTCAGAATTAAAATGTCTAGACGATATCACAGATATCGACAATTTTGCTACGAGATTTAAAAATATAATCTACAACTATTTTGCCACCAGTTGTAGCGTCATAAAGAAGAAATCAATACCTGACGAACACAAATCGCGATATTCGACATTTAAAAACAAAATTTAAAAACTTGAAAAAACTGGCTCAAACAAACAGCCAGTTCAACAACGAAATAAGTGCCCTAAAAAAGCAAATTAGAACCAAATTAAAAATTAATAACGTGTTTAAAGAATGACAAAAAAGCATGTCATCGCAACCAATGAAAAAATTTTGGAAAACAAGCAACAACATTATTTCAAATTCAACATCTGAACCTCCACTCTTCAACACAGAAACAGCCACCAACTTTTTCAAAAACAACTTGAGCGCTGGCGACCGCACTGTTTCGTTTCCCAAACTGGATTTCTCCACTCCCTACTCCAGCATTTTGGGTAATTTGGATCCGCCAACAAATAGCGAAATTACAACAATTGTTCTTAAAAGCAAATCAAAGGCATCTGCATGTCCGCTGGACCAAATATCAATGCTAACAATTACAAGATGCCCAATATTAAGAACATATTTGCATAAATTGTTGGTAATGTGTAAATCTTGCACCAATCCAAAACAACTCTGCAAGATTTTCTTTCACTTTATTTTTATTTTTCTCACATATATCACACACACACACACACAAACACACACACACACACACACATATATATATATATATATATATATATATATATATATATATATTATTATCAACAATTTATTAAGCGCATTATAAAATTGAAATTTCTCGAAAGCGCTCTCTATTATAAATGAAATCAGTGAAGGTCAATAAAGTACAAATCAATAAAGTATTTCTATGTCAAAATAAATATGTTTTTAAGTTCCTCTTAAAATCATCAAGCCTTAGTCCAGGCATTCTGAGCGATTGCGGAAGACTTTTTCAGGCAATTGGTCCTGACACGGCAATATTTCTAGGTGCAGTTTGTAGTTGAGTTGTTGTCACTGCCAGTAGGTTGGCATAGTCTGATCTCAATTTTACACCTGTTGAAGAAGCTGATTTTTTTAAGATTTTATTTGCTAGATATACTGGAAACAACCCGTTCAAAGCCTTATACATAGTCACACAAATCTTATAGTTGATTCTTTTTTTCACTGTTAGCCAATGTAGGTCTCTTAAAATGGGTGTCACATGGTCATACTTTCTACGTCCAACAGTTATTTTTGCAGCTCTATTCTGTATCGATTGAAGAAAAGCAATAGCAATCCATTGAACAAGCTATTACAGCAGTCTAACCGTGAATAAACAAACGCATGAATAAGTGTTTGCATGGTTGTTTGATGTAAATATTTTCGAACGCGGTATAACTGGCAAAGCTGATAAGAACATGATTTGGATATGGTTTTTATATGATCTTTAAAAGATAATCTCGAGTCAAAAATACACCCTAGGTTTGTTGCATTTTCACAGAATTGTATTTCATTATTATCAATTTTGACTGAATTAATATTAATTTTATAAAGCTGTTGCCATGTACCGACAGGTAAAAATTGAGTTTTATCTTGATTCAATTTGAGACAATTTCTTGACATCCATGTACCTATTTTAGTCAAGCATTCAATGAGATTTTCAACTTTACTTTCAAACAGTTCTGGTTCACTGCTAACTATTATTTGGATGTCATCAGCGTACGCATGATATGAAAATCCAAAGGATTCTATTACTTCATATACTTCAGCAGTGTACAGTACAAACAGAATAGGTCCCAGGACTGAGCCTTGTGGTACACCAGATGATATTGCTTCAATACCAGATAATTTGTTCCCAAAAAAAACCTGCTGAGTTCTGCCAAACAAGTACGAATTGAACCAATTAGCTACAACTCCAGTAACTCCGTAATCATATTGTAGGCGATTCATCAGGATTTGATGGTCTACGCAATCGAAGGCAGCACTCATGTCCAAGAATGTAAGCAACGAAACATGTTGTTCATCAATTGCATTAAACAACTCACACACACACACACACACACACACACACACATATATATATATATATATATATATATGTGTGTGTGTGTGTGTGTGTGTGTATATATATATATATATATATGTATATATAATTTGCCGGTGTCAAATAATTTGCCGGTGTCAAATTTGTCTTTCGTTTCTAAAATTATTGAACGTTCCGTTGAATTAGTTTTAAATAATCATATAAATAAAAATGGTATTTGGCCTTCGCATCAATCTGGATACAGAAGGTTTCATTCGACCGAAACAGCTCTATCGGCTCTCTCATGTTTATTCAGCAGTTAATGTACAAAAAGTAACTTTGTTGACATTCCTGAACATGAGTTCGGCGTTCGATACTGTGAATCATAAAATCCTGCTGGACAGACTGAAATATTGTTATGGTTTAAATAAGATTGCGTTAGCGTGGTTCGAATCATTTCTTACTGGTCGGACTCAGCAGATTTCTTACTCAGGTGGTCTCTCGGAACCAATGAAACTTAAGTCAGGGGTGCCTCAAGGATCTGTTCTTGGGCCGATTCTTTTTAATTTGTACGTTGCAGAGATATTGTATTTACTGAATAAAGATGGTTATTATTGCCATGGGTACGCAGATGACATGCAGATTTGCGTTTCATGTTTCCCAGATGAGATGCCTACCGTATTAGAGAAACTGACAAAAACTATATCTGATGTCGGCTCGTGGCTGGGTCAAAGTAGGCTAAAGTTGAATCAGACTAAGACTCAGTTCATGTTGGCTGGTACATGGCAACAAACGTCAACGGTTGAACCTTCATCGATTAACATCAGCATGACTGACATAAGTTTCAGTAAAACGGTTACCAGTTTGGGAATTGTGATGGACTCCCGTATGACAATGGGTCCACAAGTCAGTCTATTAGTTAAAAAATGTATGTTCAACTACGTCAATTACGTCAAGTCACAAAATCGGTAGATAGAGATACAATGACTCTATTAGTACATGCTTTCGTCAACTCTAGATTGGATTATTGTAACAGTCTTCTATATGGCATAGCTGATAAACTGTTGTCTAAACTTCAGATGGTTCAGAATCAGGCTGCTAGAATGATATATCGCAAATTAAAATTTGATCATGCATCACCAATTCTAAAGGAGTTGCATTGGCTGCGTGTTAAACAAAGAATCATGTTCAAGTTGGGTGTAATGGTATTTAAAAGTTTAAATGGTCTGGCTCCGAAATATTTAAAAGATAAGTGTATTCGAGTTTCATTTATGTCATCACATGGACGTCTAAGGTCTGCTGATTCAAACACGCTGTACGTTAGAGATCGAAATCTGAAGACAGCAGATAGAGATTTTGCAATTGCTGGGCCTATTTTTTGGAACAGCCTACCTGTCGAACTACGTATATCCGGGTTATTATTAGCTGAGTTTAGAAAACGTCTAAAGACATACCTGTGTGGTAACTCCTAGTGATCTCAACCGATGATGGCTTCGCTTTCAACATGCTTCATACGAGGAGAGCGCTGATGAGAAGCAATTATAATTGGCGCTATATAAATACAATATTTGATTTGATTTGATATATATATATATTGTTTTTATTTGTTGTTTGTTCATTTTAACAAATGCAAATATACAAAAGAGTTTCAACTGTTTTCTAGTGGTAAACCAGCAAAAAAATTTTCACCAGTGACATTTTTCTCCAATTCTTGCAAGATTGATTTTTTCTTTTTCTTTCACTTTATTTTTCTCATATATATATATATATATATATATATATATATATATATATATTTCCAACCATAAATGGAGTTACTATCAATTTAATGTCATCTTACCCTAGTTTTGTAGGTTATTATTGCCTAAATAGACACCTAATCCTAATTAATACCAACTGTTTATTTACAGTCACAAATAATTCCAACTTTTATGCCTCTTTTTCCAAACTGGAATTTCGCAATTCAAATACTTCAAATACATCTCTTGCGCATAGGCAACATGCGAATTTACTTCCATTCTCCATTAAATTTTTGATATGAAAAATAAAACAAATCTGATTACCCTAATTTTACTCATCATTTATCTCATTTTACTTTATTAGAAAAATTATCCTAACTTCAACGTCATTTTACTTTATTAGAAAAATTATTTGCAAACAAATTTTACACAAAACGATTCAAAAAATACAGTAATAACAAACTATTAATTTATATAAATTGTATTTTAAAATGAATATTTCTGGTTTTAAATTCATCATCATCATCTTAATCATCATCATCATCATCATTATCATTTTATTATTATTGCTGTACAACTGTATTATTATTAAGATTATTATTGCTGTACAACTTGAACATGAGAGTCGTTTTAGCGTAACTCACTGACAATATAAAGATATTTAGCCGTTGTATATGTTTGAATTTGGTACAAGTTGTTAGAGAATCTGCGAAAAATATGGTTGTGTTTTTAAAATTACAGTTTGATAAATGTTTTAATTTTAATAATTTTATTTACCTAATTTTAATTTTATACTCGCTTACCTACTTCTGTCAAAGCAACAATGTTCCCGCATTGTTCTAAAGAATTTAAGTTTATTAACAGACTTCTGGAGGTGCACTAACTTAAAATCAAACTCAAATTTAAATGTTTCCGTAAAAAACAACATTAATATTTTTCCTAATTTATTAACAAATAATAATAATATCTTACCGAATCACTCCGATCATACGTTGACTTGTTGCTGTGGAAAACGTTCCAAAGGTCGAAAAGGACTTACAATGCATCAGAGATCATGCAAAACCTACAAATCTCTAAAAGCTAACATTTCCAACGTTGAAACAGACGACGATAGCGACGGCAGACAAGCAGCTTTCAAACACACGTCAACAACAGCAGCTATTTCAAAGCCCCTACTAGGAATAAAAATGCCCAAATCTTCAATACACTGGTCCGAAGCTAACGCATTTTTCCAAATGGAACTCAAACCTCTAGATATCATATCAGATATCGACAGCTTCGCTATCAAGAGACGAGTTTCAAGAAACGACATATCTTACTTTGCAGCCAACTGTGGTACGTTGAAATCAAAAACAACTCACAATGAAGTCAACAACCATGATATTAGGGGACTGAAAATGAAATTAAAAAACTTAAAATTTCTAGCTCGGACCAACAAACATCTCAAAATAAGAGTATTGAGCTAAAAAAATAAGGGCAATGTTAAAAACAGCTGGGACAGCACAAAAAAAACAGCAACAAAGGCGAAATATATTTTAACAGAACTAAAAAAGAATTTCTGAAAGACATGCCACAACGTCTTTTCTAAATCTACCCCTCAATCTCCACTTTTCAACGTTGAAACCGCCACTAATTACTTCAATGATATTTTAAAATCTGATGATCGCACATCGTTTTGTCTTACAAGCTGGATTCCTCCTCTCCCCACTCCATCATACGCCGGTAATCTGGATCCTCCAACTTACAATGAAATTACGAAAATCATCAGAAAAAGTAAAGCTAAAGTATCACCGTGTCCACTAGACCAAATCCAAATAAAAGCTCTTAAAAGATGTCTTATTCTTAGGACATATTTACATAAATTATTAGTACTGTGTTGGAAATTAAAAACATTTTCACTACGTTGGCGCTGAGGTTGGATAATTCTAATATACATGAAGGGCGATGCAAGCGATTCGTCAAATTTCCGCCCAATCACTCTCCGCTTTTAATAAATCCAGATTTTATAATTGTTTCGAAAACAACAGTTTCATCAATAACAACATCCAGAAAGGCTTCTACCCAGCAATTGATGGATTGGCCGAGCACCCACAAATGCTCTCCCATTTATTAAATAATCGATTATAACCACTTATCGATGTTGCTGTCCCTAAAAACACGAATGTTGCTACAAAGGAAGTTGAAAAATTAAGCAAATATAAAGACTTTGAGATCGAGATTTTAGGTATGTAGAACACAAAAACCCGGCGTTATCTCTATGGTAGTTTGTGCATTGAGAAGAGTACGTCAGGGGCTGCAGAAATATCTCGATGAACTGCCTAGAAATGAAAGTGTTGCACAAATGCAGAAGATAGCTCTACTCGGTACTACCCACATACTTCGAAAATTTCTAACAAAAAAAAACTAAAATCCTAGACCTCAGGAATCCGGTGGACTCCCGGAAGATACCAGCAAAAGTGGTTGAGGAAAATAACTATAATAATAACATCAATAATATTAACAATAATAATAATAACAATAATAATAATAATAATAATGAGAGTAATAATAATGACAATTATAATAACAATGATATTAATAATAAATTGAACTAATTTCGCGCCTCACAATTTAGACGCTGTATTACCACCTTGACAACTATCGTTCAAACATTTTAAATTTTTTAAGTTTTTCGTTGTTGAAAGTTTTCGTTAGATTTTATGTTCCTTTTTCAAATTTATTTGTATATATTTTTAATATTGTTTAAACTATAATTGTAAATCAATAATTAAATAATACACTGATGATGATGGTTTAGCGTCGAAATAGATCTATTTGCAATAGATCTATTTTTAATGAAATATATATATATATATATATATATATATATATATATATATATATATA